TGATGAGATAAAAGCCACAAGTGGATATGCGTTCACACTTGGAGGTGGCGCTGTTTCCTGGAAGTCTTGCAAGCAGACCATCTTAACGAGGTCAACAATGGAAGCAGAACTTACAGCACTAGATACTGCGACAGTTGAGGCTGAGTGGCTTCGTGAACTCCTGATGGATTTGCCGGTGGTTGAAAAACCAGTGCCAGCTATCCTAATGAACTGCGATAATCAAACAGTGATTATTAAAGTGAACAGTTCAAAGGACAACATGAAGTCATCTAGACACATCAAGAGAAGACTGAAATCTGTCAGAAAGCAGAAAAACTCCGGAGTGATAGCATTGGACTATGTCCAAACGGCTAGAAATCTGGCAGATCAGTTTACCAAGGGGCTACCACGTAATGTGATAGACAGTGCATCGAGGGAAATGGGCTTGATACCCACCTAAGGTTGCATAATAGTGGAAACCTGTCCATTGTGATCGGAGATCCCGTGAATTTGGATGGTGAAACAAATTATTGTGTGACTGAGAGAAGAGACCCTTGAAAGGGGCTCATTTTCATGATGTGCTTCTCTTCTTTCCTGCATGGTAGGATGGCTTATGTCTTAATGTGATCCGAGTGGCTTTTCCAAGCAGAGATGTTGACCTGCAGAACATCTCAGAAGGAACACACCTATATGAGTTCGACTGCTAGTCACAGTCTATGAGGTTTGGGCAATCTCTAGATACTCATGAAAGGCCTGGAGTTTGACTTATATGCTCCAAACAGAGGGGATGCGAACGGCAGCCCAGTACCAGTCAAGGTTCTGAGTGAAACCTGATCACACAAAACTTACAATTCAAGGCATAGTCCATTGTTCAGTTGTGGTCTGATGTAGCTCATTTCCTAGGTGGAAGTTCAACTTAACAGTCTCCACCAAAACCCTGGTATATCAAACAGGCACAGCCTTGAGAACATTTCTTATGAGCCTTGAAATTTGGTGGGGATTGTTAGAATAATTGGGCTAGGCCCAACTTATAATATTAAATCTCAAAGGCCCATAATAAATGTTGAGGATAATAATACCACCTCTGGATTTAAGCGAGAAATATCTCAACCTAAATAGGGAGTTATTAGAGGCTCCCTGTTGACCAGTTGAGGTGGGGTCGGAATGCCACACGCGCGCGCGCGCGCCGGGCCGGGCCGTGGCCGAGGGCGAGGGCGGGGCGTGGCGTGGCTGGCGGCGTGCGTCACGTCACGTCGCTATCCTTTTGCAGCCACTAACCCACGTTCCCACGATTCCCTCCGCAACAGCGCGTCCACGTTCTTTCTCCTGATAGATAAGGAGGCCGCGAGTCCGATCCAAGTTCCTCGCTTCTTTCCCGGTGTTAGTTTCTCCTTCTCCGCGCCTGAGTTGCTCTCGCTTCCCTGCTTCTGATCTCTTGCGCGCACGAGAGATTGGAAGAAGCAGTGCCTCCGAAACCACACCTTCGCCTGAGATCTGCACCGGGTAGGCGGGTGAGCGGGTGATCAGGTTTTTGGGGAGTGCCTCCTGCACGACTGCTCATCGCCATGTCTAGAGTTGCTGCCGCCGCTATTGGCGGAGGTGGAGCTGCGCCGCCGCCGACGCCGACAGGAGCTGGATCCGGAGCTGGTGCGCCAGGAGGAGGTGCCGTGAACGACTACAACAACGGAGGCAATTCTGCCTCACCATCCAGCGGAGGGCCATTCTCGGGGTATAATCTTCTCCTTCTACTGCTGTTAGCGCTACTCCTGTTCCCATTGTTAGCGCTATACTGTGTGCGCTATGTTCTTGTTCCTGTTCTACATGATGCCTCTAGCATGTTATCGCATTACTGGTATGTTCCTGTTTCTGACATTCATGATGCGCATAGTATGCTACTGGTTATGTTAAGATCACCCTACACTGCTTATGCCATGATCATAGTTTCAATTTCTTGGATTAAAATATGCCGAATAATGACTATATTTCTAACATAATCTTCACAGCCATGTGTTTTTGGAATATCATACAGCTACCAAGTCATAGTATTATTGAATTTTGTGTTTGGTTGTCGGTATAAATCAAACAGTAGTTCACCTCAATTTGCCCACCGATAAAAAATAACTTCAAATGATGCATCAGTATAATACTCGAGTAATAAACTAATAATGCATCAGATATGTAAATTCAAGTGTCAAACTCAAAATCTGAACACAATTGTGCATCAAGGTGTTGAGCCAGCAGCCCTCATGCTCCTAAAACTGAACCTTGTTTAACACGCAAGATTTCTGGATTGTAATGACAACGCATGATGATGATCTCAGTTTTGGAAAACAGCAAGGACCACATAGTCAAGTTTGGATCACTTTGTTTAATTAGTTAAACCTAACGAGACAAAAAAACATCACAAATTCATTTCTTGACTGGATGGATGACTTTGGATGAACAAATAAAACTGTGGATCCATGCATCACAGAAAATCAAGCTAGATTACCTGCTAATGCTAAGCTAAATTGGATTGCAATGGTGCGTCGTGGCTTATATCATTCAATGGGATGGCAGTAATTAACTGAGTTGTTGCCAAATTAGTTAGGAGATGATGGTGATAGTGGCTTACTTACTATTCATTATACAACAACTGTTCATGAATGCAGACAATTGTTTGACCTAGTTGTTGATCTATCAAAATGAAGTAGGGCTAAACAAAGGGATAGTAGATGATGACTCTCACTGTTCTTCATTGAAAGGGTTCAGACATAAGGCAGACAAAGCAATTGATTCTTAACGGCTCAAGATGCAGATGAAGTGTTAACTTCGATTGGATCCTAGAAAATACTAACTCCTATTGACTTCTGGATCATATATGAATTTCCCTGAGGAATATCTTGGAAGAGTATAATTAGTATTTCTTATGAAAATAACATGTAGTAGTATATGTTAATACGTTAGGTGAAATTAATGACAGGTCAGCACAGCACATGTAAAACCTCAAGCTAGGTCAGAATTCTGACTTGTGAATTACTGATCAGAGCTTCAATGCTCCAAATTCTATCCAAGTTGCAGATTCATCCAAGCATAACAGTTCTCTAAGATAGAATAGATTAGCTCTGCTGTGCCATTGACCTCATTCCAATATTTTTCTCTTGATGCCATGATGGATCAGTTGTTAATTCACTAGTTTATATGCTCCTGTAATCATCATTAGCGATAACAGCGGGTATGAGCTAAGAGATTAGGCTCTGAATCAGTCAGTTTCCAGGAAGTATCACAAACTGATCAACCTATCTCTGCACAGCACACAGACACAGGGTCCACAGAGATGACGCAAGCTGTAGTCTTTGTTCTGACTGACTTAACAATGACTTCTTAAAAGGGCTTATTTGGAAGGGACCTATAAAAATTGAGCCTTTCTTTCCATTTCCAAAAAATAAAAACATAGTTCAGAACTTTCAGATACTAAATCACTTCCATTTACTGGTGAGACAGCAATAATAATTGCTTTGAAACTGTTATTTTGATGAAATTACAACAGCAATAAGTAGCATTTTAAATGAAAAAGAAGAACGATAAAAAAAAGTTTTGGCTTTCAAATTAGAAGTCAAGATTAATACGAAAACCCCCAAAATACAGATCATAACCCGTGCATCAGATGGCATATTATCAAGTCTACTTGGACAGCATGGGAAAATGACAGCTTGTCTGCATATGAGATGTTACTGTTTGAGCAAACTCTGAATACAAAGTAAACGCATGACTTTCTCAATCCAATCAGCTTCAAGCTTACATATGTGCACCAAGACTATTGGCGCAATCATCCACTGCTTAGTTAGCAATTTGTCATTAAGTAAATTCAGAAGAAATAAGGTTACTGATTCAAATGTCAACTGCTTACAGCATTTGCAAGAAAAACCAAAAGATGATTTGGTCACACCTGCGTTTCACCCTGGATTTGTATTCTGTAGTGTGTGAACACTTGCATCGGCAACTTGGGCTATGACATCAAACATCAGTTAAGTACAAAAGTTAACAGGACTTCTCTTATCCCTAATGACTGTTTATGTTTGACATTGTAACTGAATAGAATAAAGAGGAAACTGTCATGAGTCCAGGTCGTATTCATACCGAAGCATCTTTTAAACTTGGCATGTTTTCATGGAAAAAAGAACAGACGAATCAATCCAAAATGAGTACTATTTCTGATGAATTTGGATAAAAGCAACCAGCTCATGTTTCATAGGCCAGGATTTTGTATGTACTGTAGCATGCGAAGACCAGCCCATTCTCTGAAGATTCTAGGCCCATGTTTCATAGGCCAGGATTTTGTGCAGATTTTATGTCCACTGTATTAAAATCTCAACAGCTGATGCTAACAAGAATGTAAATTAAGTTCAACCCTGACCATGTAGCCGTCAACCATGGACTGAAATAACTGAGGCCGTCAAAATTTTGCAAGTTGTGACAGGTGTGTGATGATAAACATTCATTACATTAATTAATGAGTAGTAACTTCTAATCCATCTACCAAGAGAGTGATAACTGATAAGGAACTGATTCACATCTGATGCATTGCATTCTTGGTGGATAGGGCTGGTATGAATTGCACCATATCTTGATCTGCAATTTGCATGATGCATAAGTGTACACCAATTTGCAGATTAGGACTGGTGCTTATGCTGTGAGAAGAGCTTACAGTGGCAATACAATTATGGGGTGGGCAATTATCACGGCAATTATCACCAAAAGCAGAGAAAGAAACAGCAGCAGCACTGTACATGCTACTGAAAGTCTGCACATGTTCAGTGCCTGTGATAGCTGCTTCAGTAGTTCTGACACTTCTCTGAGTCATGCAAGAGAAATCCACTGTATGTTTAATTTTAAATGGTGAATACAACAGTATGTTGCATGAGCATACTATGTAGTAGCTGAGAAGAGAAGTTTGAAAGCACAATAATTCAATGAAAGATTTCTCTTTTTTTTCTATGGCTACAGAAAATGAGAGTGCATTTACAAACTGGAAAAGGATATAGTCAGGAAAAGGAAAAGATTTCTGATTTTTTTAGCAAGTCCAAACATTACTTGGGAACATGATGAATCAGGCAATCCAATGCTACACTGCTAACTGGTACAGACTAGAGACACAAGAAAACACAGAAATGAACAAGAAAAAAAAATACAGCAAAGGCCTACACAACCTCAATTACCGAGCATGTTTTTATTACTAAGCAATTTAGGTCCTCCAGTTTAAGTGATGATGAACGTGGTCTAGTTATGACCAAAGGAGGACCTATTTTCTCCAGCGATGTATTTACACCAAATGAAAGTTACATCATGCGCTGCAAGAAACCAAGGAATCCTCGTAAGTTCAATTGTCCACAATTCTTGGACCCATATAAGTTGACCCGACAAGATGAAAATTGTCTGGTGGTTCACACTCCTCCAGCCATGCGTATCCATCGTCTCCAGGAAGGGGCTTTGAATCTCCTGTTAAAAATGCAATTTTTATAAGGTTAATCACCAATATTTACCTTCCTGTCAAGATGCATAAAATGTATCATACAGAGAACAGGACAGAGGAGATGAATTTATAACAAGTGTGAGATAGGAGTAAATATATAACAGCTAACTAATTCAGAGTACAGATAATGCGGAATATTCCTGCCATATAACTATAACCATTTCAGTAAATAGGACACAACAAGCTTGAATCCATTCGAATCCAGAGTACAGATAATGCAGAAAATTCCCGCCATAGAGTTATAGCCATTTCAGTACAAAGGACTATTAGGATTATTTATTAATCTATAGGCTGTTTATCTCCTAGACCTTTACTCTCCTAGACCTTTGGTCTTATGTAACTCACTAGTATTGATTGTATCTCAGCACTAGCATTCATTGTAATTCAGCTATATATATGAGAGATCAGCTCCCCACATTGGTGAGGCATCTATTCTACTTTCTCTACAAGGACAATACAAACTTGAATGGTTTGGAAAATAACAAAGATTGAACACTAGCTAATTCAGAGTACAGATAATGTATGAGACTCCTATCATATGATTTCAAAGGATGGATAATTGGATATGCACGAATCTATGGGTGAGCAGTTTCTATGCAAGTCAAACAGATGAAACTTATCCTGTGCATGAGGGCACCAAGTGCCTGAGTGAATGCAATATCAAGAAAAGGCAGAACTACAAGTACATCAATAACTGAACCTACTGCATAACTATCTTAGATCAACGAGGAGAAAATTCTTTCTACTTAATTCAAGCAAACACATCCTCGTATCCGACAAGAATAGATTTGTGAAATAGCAATTATATATAAATGTAAAACCTAAAAGATACAATGTGGACCCTATATACAAGCAGATATAACTCGGTTAGCAAATAGTACCAGCAGAAGGTGCAGAGGAAGAGACGTTGTAGTGCTGGCAGTGCCTCCCACTGCCATCGTCATATGGTGGGCCAAGGACATCAAGAACAGCACAAGCAGTATGTGCGGTGAAGCAGTGCAGGTTGCCACCATCTTCCGGATATAGTACCGATGTTGCACAAGGTGCATTCAAGGTGCCATCAACCTTCACCTTTGCTAAGCGGGCTCCTTGCAACTGAGCATCTATACTCAAAACAAAAATGAAAAGAGAAACCCCTTGGTAAAAATTATGTAAGGAAGTTTATATTTGCCAGGAAAATGAACAAAGCATACCAGTTGAATCTTGTGAGGCATCAGCCCAATCATAGGACTTCACACGCAGCTCACCAAAAAGAAGCTTACTGAACACAGTCATGTTGGGGTGATTATGGAGAGGAATGACACCCCTTGGAGGCAAACAAAAGATGCCGATCTGTAGGAACAAGTATAGACTTATGTACCTTAGCACACAAAAACGACAAATTTTCTAGTTGGTAATAATCAAGAACAATTTTAGTTGCTATTGCGAATAAACATACCGAGAAAGCCTCACACTCATAAAGGTGTAAGTAAGTGATTTTAGGAATGCCATTGGAATTAACACGCCGGAAATATGACATGTTTCGAGTTAGGCTGACATCTGCCGCTGAAATGCTATCTGCACGGTACAAATGAAGGGACAAACATCATTAGAATAGAAATATGAATGCTGTAGTAAGTACAATCCATAGACATTTGCAATCTCTCTAGGATATGAATACCCATTGGACAGAGTGCACCTGTAATATACGAAGGTCTAACACATGCAGCAAGCTTGGCCAACAAGATAAGCACACGATCCTACAATATTTCAGATTTTCAATCGAGAGACTTATCATGATGACTACTACAGAATATAGATAGTGCTAAATACCAACATCGAAGAAAAGAGATGATATCAATCTTAATTAGAGCTTCGTTAGTTGGGTAGAAACAACAATTGCCATATATAAGCAAAACATGCTGGACTCAGCATTATACACTAAATTATCATATAGCAGGACTTGAAGGGAAGGAACACATAAGAATAAGGTCTTATGCAAAAACACATGATTGCTGTATGTTTGATTGGTACATCTAAAGTTTCAGAGCAGAGTGTAGCATTTACCCCAGCTTGGTAGTTCAAAGGACCATGTAGTTCAAAGGACCATCAGATCAAAAGGTAAGTACTGAGTCAATATTGAAATGCGATCCCAATATCCCATCTCCATGAATTTTCAGGGTCAATCTCATTATCAACAGCTATTTCCATGAGCTTGAAGTTGGACACAAATGTCAGGCAAGTAGGCAACTATAACCCATAAATCAAGAATTTTGCACATATACTACAATCTCCAGGGTCCAGGGTGATCACCGTCGAAGCACGTTACGTTAAAAGTAATCCATATGCATGCATGTAGGTGGTACAGGCTCACAGTGGAGTTGGCACTTGGCACAACAATCAATCAGGGTACGTCCGACACAAGGAAAGAAAGAAATACTATCTTAGGGACAAAACATGGTACGACAACAGATTCCACCATTAACCTTCCTCAAGAAGAGTTCAGCAGACCTGATCAAGTTGACCTAAACTAACTATTTATGGCAACTGGTGGCTTTTGGAACGAATTGGATTAAAAAAAAGAACCCTAACACCGGTCCAAAATGAGCATAATCTTGGCCGTACCCCCTGCACCCCCACCCTACTCCACAAAACCAGCAACCACGTCATATATATACCATGGGCAGTACATGGTTTTGCTTATCTTTTGCTCCATTGTTTATCTTTCACCAGGAACAGCCAGCACAAGTCAGGACCTATGCATTTTTCTGACAATCTAGCATCACTACTTGCAAGAAAAAACATGCTGCAGATGATATTTGTATCACAGATTCACAGGCACACAGCATGGTATACATTATTTAAAAAAAATTCACAACATGGTAATAACATCAAAAACCATTTTTTCCAACAGCTTATCAGTTTGTTATTCCATCCTCTAACTTATGATTTGATTACAAAAACCATCTTTTAGGGGGAAAAGAAGAAATAAATTAACTTACGCAAGAAAACCATTGTTAATTTGAGTGTATCAAATGCACCTAAAGCAATTGTACGTACTAGTCAGACTCTTATTTGGTAGACACCAACTAAAGAAAATCTTGCCGTTTTTTCTACGAGGAACTCACCAATATCGAACACTTGTTTCCACCAAACTGAAAATCTTGATGGGACCTAAAACTAAGAAGGGATGAACTGCGCCACCTAAATCTAATGCAATTATCACAAGATCGAAACACGAATGCCACCACCCCAAGTACCCAACCAATGATTTCGATTCTCTACCAAGCGTCCGCCGTGGAGAAGACAGGCAGGAATAGCATCGAACACAAGGCAGGCGCGCACATGCTGCTTCGCTCTACACCGAACATCGATTCTTTCGAGACCCCCCATCGGGTGCAAGAGACTTAACGGGGGGAGGGATTACGGATTACCAAGAACGGACTTGATCCTCTCGACCCCGGCGGGCGAGGGCACCGCGCCGGCGGAGGCACCGAAGACCTCGCGGCACGCCTCGAAGAGCCCCTGCACCGCGGGCGACGGGGCTGGCTGCGCCGCCGCCCCCGCCGACGGCATCGCCGGCCTCCGCTGCTGACGCCGCCGCCGCTGCCGCCGCGCGCCGGCGGGGTCCCTCGCCCCCGACCCAAGCTCCGGGAGGCCCCCGGCCTCCACCCGCATCAACGGCGGGGGAATGCGGCGGCTTGGAAGGCGAGCTGGGGATCGGAGAATGGCCGCGCCCCGAGCTTCGCGTCTTCTTCTTCTTCGTTCTTGGGTTCTTCCTCGTCGGAATAATGAGGAGGATGCGGGTGATTTTTTATACTCGAGATGGCTAGTATTTTATTGGCACGAGGCTTGGAACGGAGGTGGTGTTTTTTTTTTCTTTTTAACAAAAACGTTTCTCAAACTATTCAATTCAAGAATTCGTTTGTAATTTGAGATCGCCATCATCTCAATACTACCACCATTTAGTACCCCCATTGTTCTGTATTACACGACATTTTAAGTTTGATTAAGTCTATATAAAATACACCCTTCCTTTTAAAATATACTAAAACATACTCCCTTCAGAAAAAAAAATGTGAGTACGAGGTTGTTTTTTACTAAGAGAGTAACTGTTTGTGTTATTTTTAAAATCTTTCACCCTAAAAATCTCTAATTTTATTGGACACATGCACTATATTTATTAGGATGATCTAAATAATAATTATTTTTTTAGTCTTTGGGTTAAAAATGATTGTCTTTGCTTTGAAATGGAGGGATTATATAACATCTATAGTATGCGTGCTCGGGTCCTATTGTTGTAGTTCTGCAGCTACAACACTGCCAACAGCTATAGCACTGAAACAAGCGTACCAAAGCACTAGTTACTGTTGATACAGCTATAGCCATAGCAAAACTGTACAAACAAGGTTAATATCAAATTAGTTACATTATTAAACTTATCACTAAATATATTTTTGTGGGTATTTTATAGTGTATTTGTTTTTTATTAGGAAGATTGATATTTTTTTTCTATAACATGAGTAAATTTGAAAATGTTTGACTCAAGAAAAACATATATAAAACGACTTTTGATATGGAAGTACCCGATGGAGTATTGGCTGTATTGCTCATCGATATCTCAAACTATTATTAAAGGTAAGGTTTATTAGTCTAACTCTCCGCCTAAATAATAATTATGTATGGATTGCAAATTTTACGTGTTTTGACCTCGATGTGACACCTCATATGTATCCCTGCTAAATTCTAATTATCCTTTAGGCGTATTTATTAAAGTTGCTCCCTATAAGCACCTTTGAAGTAAATACAAATTCAGATGGATGTCTCCATTTCGTCCCCAATATCACTTAAAAACATAAATATTAAGAAATGACCTAATATCAAAGAAATAGAAAGGGTGATACTTTGAACCCAAAAACGGCTAACCCACCACCGGTGGAGCTAGCCGGAAGACCCATTCGTGTTTTTTCGTCCCCATTATCACTTAAAAAAACATGTTTATGATTTTTCATGTACATGTTGAACATTGTTTGGACATTTAAAATCACCACAATATTTTGGATAATCTAAGTAATTCAGTATGTTCCTACTAAATCCATGTAAGCATACATAGTGATGACGATACACGCTGGTATAATCTATAATATATGTCGCTTTTTCTCTGCTTTTTTATATGTGAGAAAATGGCATTCCATCATATCGAAATTAGCAGCAGAAAAAAGTGAGCCTTCCAACAAAAAGTTTGCTTTAGCCGTCCACATTTTGTTATCGTTGTTTACCAGTCTGCACACAAGCCAGGAGAGGCTGGTGCTTTTGAAAAAGGAAAAAAAAATCTCTATGTTTATACTTATACTAATACTACTAGTTAGCTTAAGTGCAAGTCAGATTAAAAGACCAAAAACCAGGGACCATCACATCAGCATTCCTGTGGGCTGAAGCAAACAGCCTATGAAGCTTTTTGCAGGAGGAACCCTCCTGCCCTTTCTACTCCTTGGTTGCATGCCTGATTTGTCATTTGCAATGTGCACCTATGCAAGAACCAGTCTGAATGTTTGCTGCAAACAGAGACAGATGATGTACACCATAGGTCTACCACCTGTTGTTTTGTTTCTGCAGAGATTCCTTCTGGTTCTGAATATGGCCATCCTGTTCATCTGATGATGATCCGAGGGATGGTGATATTTGAAGAATTTTGTGTACATCCACTCACACATTTGAATCGTTTATACATTTATACACGCCTAAGGTATGTATGCCACAACTTGTCAAGCTTTTTCCGCTGAAGTGTGACATGCATGTCACAATTTTTCGTAAAGAAATCATGCGCCAGACAAACCTTAGAAATAAATTGTACCCATGACAGATAGAGAATTAAGGTAGAATTATATGGCATGTCAAAGGTATTGACAACAAACCAAGACACTTATCTAAGTTCTTTTTTTTACAAAACAAGGTTGATTATATTAAAGTATTACAACCTCATTGTTGCACAAAAAAAAATAAGACATGACCTATCAACAAAGAACAAAGATACCTCACATATTGAAAAACCGCAAGAGATACAAGCATACAAATGCATCCACGATGCTGACAAACTTCACCACACACAAAGGTATTTGAACAGGTATCAACCATAATCTTCGCTCCTTTTCACAAATCTTATAAGCTGGCATCACCAAATAAATTAGTGACACCCACCCTAAGCTAGCGTTGCTGATAGGATCATCGGCAACCCGACAAACAAAAACACTTATCTAAGTTGATCAATCCTAAGTTGTCAAACAACAGAACCACAAGCCAGACATCCTTAACTACAACTCACAACATTTCGAATCTGTGGGCACCTTGGCTGTTAACATATCGAAGCAGATCAAATAGGAGTTGAACGCATAAATAAAGGGGACCCATATGTACCATTATCTCCCTCCAGCCTCCAGGATTGCGAAGTCCAAAGCACTGACACAGCACACAGCGGTATGATGGGTTAACACCTGCGGCGCCCACGGTAATGCGACGCCCAGTCTTCCTCCCCTTGTGCACACCAACGTCTTACACAATGTGTTTTTCCTGTCCTGCGTGATGCCAGCATGAGCGGCTCCACTTGGCAAAAGATGCTACTATTTGATACAGAGCTTGCTCGAAAATATCTTCCAGATGGGATGCTACCTCTTTTCTTCTCTGCAAATCATAGCCTCTGTTAGCCAAACTGGAGAGAGCTTGTTGGATGGCACATCACAGTATCAATGGCCATCATGCCATGGGACGCTTTGGCCAAAAATAGCGTGACTTTGTCCCAGTTGTAGTGATCAACCAAATATTTGTCTAACAAACCGTGCCACGGGAAAACTTAGTCCACGAGCCAAGCATGATCATGGTCTTCTTCGTCGCTGTCATCCTCGTCGTTGCTGTCATCCTCGTCCTCGTCCTCATCGTCACTGTATTCTTGGGGCCCCCAGAACCTGGAAACCTCCTTGCTGTTGCCAGGTAAAGATACAGGGACAGATGACATGAGAAAGTCTCGGTAGTGAACCATGTCGACTTCGGCGGAGCTCCCCGCCATGGCGATCCTACACCCGTCCACAGCCATGGCTGATAGTGTGCTTCTGTCTGCCGATTTAGCAGGCTCACCGCAGCTCAGTGTGTTCGCAAAGTGGCCCGTCTGTGTTTCCCAGACATGGACCTGACCATCTGATGGTGCTCCAGTTATCACCTTGTATGGATCCAAGTGAAGAAATGTCACGGGTTCGTCTGATTCTGATTGCAATTCTGCCACTATATTTGGGAGTTCTTGAGACTTGCGTATGTCCCACAGAAGAGCCCTGTTCGATACATAAAAAAAAAGATGATATATCAGTAGCTAGAAGCATAAGAAGAACCACTGATTGATGAACAAATATTCTGGGCCTACTTGTTTTTTATGCCGGTACAGATTAACCATTCCGAAGGCAGCATTTCACAAGATAGTATTCTATGGTCACGAAGCGCAAGAACAGAAGCCTTCTTCATTGTCCTCAAATCAATTGTCGTCACTTCAGACCCAGCAGCAATGTAACAAAGGGATTCATGGCACTTCACTGCAATTGGTGCACTGTTTGTGCTTAGGTGAGTACTCCCAACACACGATGATGAACCAGAGGAAGGTGGTGCCATTGTGTCCCAAAGTTTAACCTGTGACACAAAACACCAAAATACATTCATTTTTTTACTTGGATGCAATGAAGGAAAATAGGAAATTGTGTAGTACCAGTTGTGCCTAATGGGCCAAGAATGGGAGCAAATGGAAAAGAAAAGGCCAAGATAAAAATCAAACATTACCAACCATAAGGCCCCCATGTCCCCCCCCCTATGGTTGACATATAACAGCACTAACTAGAGACTATAGTGTCTATGGCTGAACAGGAGTGATGGTCATTACAAATTTAGGTGTAGCATACAATTCTCTAAGTATTCAGACAAATAAAGAAAAATGTTTCTAAACATTCCACATACCTTTGAATCTTTGGAGCAGCTGACCAGCAGGGAGGGTTTGTGCCTGACATGCAAGGAAGAAATATTAGGTTTAAACGAGGGATTGTGCTGCTGCATTGTAACCTAGGATACCTTATCATGGCTTGAATAACTTGTTTCATTAGGTTCATGAGGAAAATATGCAAAAAGTAACTGCCATGAGAATCACTTCATAAGAGATTTATTGCTAATTTCCACATCAACTAGTAGAAATTCCAAAATTTACGAATTGTTCTATAGAAGAAAATGGGGCTCTAGAAAGGTTTTCATTTATAAAGGTTTTCTGGCACCAAAGCATAGAGGTTCAAGGCAACAACATTGAAAAGCCACAATGAGTTTAAAAGGATGCTCTTGTAATTTGTAAAAGGGGAAAATGGTTAATGAATGGCAGTGAGTTTTGTTTAGATGGTTTGACACTATGTACCTGGCAACAGATAGAAGTGACAGTGCTTTTTCATGGCCATGAAATGTTGATATTAGAGGGTGATTTTTGCCTCTTGTACTCATAGACCAGAGGCGAACAGTGCAGTCTTCCCCTCCACTTGCAAGTAGTTTAAATTCACCATCACCAAGCAATTTGTCAGACAGAGCAGTCACGGGCCCTGAATGGCCCCTAAAACACCGTGAGTGGCCCTAAATCACAACATTAGAAAACCATCCATAAGTTTTTGCATCCAATAAAGATTAGGAAAAAAAAACACATGTAAGCAATTTAAACAGGTTATACGCTAACAAAGTTCTATTGTTCAATGCTATCAAGCATACCTTCCAACAAAGACGGACTGTCCTATCTGCACTTGAAGTGACTAATGCCTTTTCATTTGTTTGAGAATCACCTCGAAACAATGGGATATCAATCAGTGGGAATAATCTGCAGACGAACAAAAATCAGTGGGAATAATCTGCATAGCTAACAAAAGAACACTTCAAGATTGTGCTAGTACAAAATTGATGTTATCACGGCGAAGCACTAGAAGTTTGCCTCACAAAATTCAAATATGCAATCTAGCACTGAAACTGATTATAGAACAACAGTAGTTTCCCTACCAAAAGAAAGCAAAGTTAAAGCAAAAGTCAGATTTAGTCAGATGTAGATCTTTTTGTAACAAAATAACAAGAGAAAAGTTGTAGGCACGAATTATACCAACACAATACAGGCACTGCAGTATCCATGGAATTTGCAGCAGATGGACTCGAGTGATATCAACCAATAAAGTGGCAATCATGGGAAGAAATTAACTGTAGAAAGTATTGTGTTTTGGGGTAATGAACTCTTTTCTAGCTTTGCAAATTTACCATACATTAAAAATCTAACATGATCATACATTATTGCTAGCTAAAGTGCTAAACAAGGAGCACTGGAATAGTTCACCTGAGCACAAGTGCATAACTTGTACATCAATACATGGCATGTCTTACATAATAATGGAAATATCAGCGTTCATTTGAGACATCAATACATGACGTGTCTTACATAATAATGGAAATATCAGTGTTCATTTGAGTTTTGATATTACATTGGCTGTAAAGATTCATGAAGCTCAACTACAGCAGCAAATGGGGATAGGTCCTACTGTACGGACACACTTGTAAAGCAAGATTATGGAGCATTTATTGCTTTTTACGACCCTTGACACTGATTCTCCTCACAGGGCAAAAATTAATATATGCTGAACATTACATATGATGCTCAATAAGAAAATCTACAGGTGCCTGAATAAAGAACAGTGGCTATGTGTTTTTGAGTTACCTCATACAAGTGATCCTTGCACCATGAGACTTGTAGGTTTCCACTAATTCGATTTCTGGACAATCAACCCTCAATCTTCTGACCATTAGACCCTGTGCAGAACAAATTGCATGATGATAGGTTGCTTTGCATAGAAATGGACTTCTTATATAGAATCAATACTGCAACAGTGCTCAACCAAAAATGCACAACTACAGACATGCTCAAAAAAATAAGGGGCAAATAGATCTTGGTGAATTTCTACTTACTTGAGATAACCATATGTAGTTCCTATCCAGCATTAGATGGCTTGGTGTCACTTCCGTGGGATTTGGATAATAAAAAGCCGAAATGGGATCAACAAATTTCATCTGATGTACTTCAGTGTGCCTGCGAATATATAGCTCTCGAAGTCCCAAAGCTCCACGAGGTACTTGTTGAGATGGCCATTGGTTCCTGAATATTCAAAATATCATGACAGAATAAATGTCCAATTAAAATGTGTGTCTCTATTCAAAGACTCAAAAGGATTTGGTGGTCTGCAACTAGATTATGAGTTACTATGATAATTTCTAAGTTCGGACCCAGGATTAGATCCCTTCAATCAACTCACTAGAAGATGTGGAATTGACGGGTGAACATCAGCGAAGACAAATAAGCATCATAAAGCGTCATCAGGAGGGATAAACATATTTCACATTTGCTGCCTGCCTTTATTGTGTCACATGTATCTTCACATAAAAATTTGGATGTGCACATACAGGAAAGCAATTTAGTGACTCCAAGGACAGAACAACTTCATACATACTAAGTTACACAGCTTTAATACACCTTAACAAAACCAACAATACTATCGTTGTTACTCTAATCTGTCTAACTTGGGAGCATGGAAGATAGCAATGCTACCTCTATTCCCTGTCCTCAAATCAATTTTCAAATTAGTTGGGGGAAAACAATAACTAAAACACGTTAATCCAATAGGGGCTAAAATCATCATTGATACAAAATAAGATGCAGATGTATGAATCACAATCTTGTTTTTTTGTTTCCAACAATCGAAACAAGAGATGAAGTTACAAGGTATGCCTTGCTGCAATCCATGGAAAGGCAGAACCGCTCATGTGCAAGTTTTTTTTCGGGAATACGCTAGAGGCGTATTTTTGTATTAAGAGGAGAAAAACAGTTCTTTACAACCAAAACAAAAGGCAGCAGGGGACAAGAGAGCCGGAACAAAGGAGCTAAGGCCTAATCTCATAACAGAATTTGCGACCTAAGGGGGCCTAACACTACAGACGCAGCGCCGGCACCGCAGCGTTGGCCAAACGCCAAAGCCTCGCCTCCTCAGCCGGTCCCTCTAGCTACCTCCGTCCAGCCCCTGAACTTCTGGTTGAACACTCTGTTGTTGCGTTCTTTCCAAATCGACCATGCCGCCAAAGCAACAATGGTGTCATAGCCTCGCCGAAGTGGCCGTGCAATCCGTTCTCTGCTCTCACACAGCCAAGAGTGGGCCCATGTGCAAGTTCACACAACTTAATCGATGCATCGACTGATCTTCCTGATTATTGCTGTAATGCTCCATGCTTGTCTCTTCCTAAATCCTAAGACCAACTGTCATCACAATGGATTACAGATGTTCTTCCAAGCGTTAATTTTGAAGTGCTCACCATTGTCAGCATGCACCGATTTCACTCCAATCCAATATTCCAATGGTTCTATCACTTCACCACCACAAAAGCATCGAATTCCCTACCATTACCGAAAAATCCCTCATCCAAAATTTTGTCAAAATTTTTACCCCGGAGGCTCCGCAAATTCTGGTCCGTGGTCACCAAATCACACCTCTAACCACTCAAACATCACTACGCCGATCAAACGCATTAAAACAAACACACATAGCTCCATACTGACACCCTCGTATTTGCCCCCCTCGGAAGCTAGCGCAAGAAGCGAGGATGAAAATCCCAACGCATAAACCCCCAATCCCCCCCGGAACCACAGAGACAAGGACGAGCGGTGGGATCGGTTGCACCCTACCTGAAGAGGCGGTACCAGACGGCGTCGCAGTAGGCGGAGGCGCGGAGCGGGCGGCAGGCCACGGCGAGGCTGGCGACGTCGCGGGCGACGAGGGAGCGGGCGCAGTGGGCCAGCACGTCTCCGTCGAGGTCGGCGAGCGACCGCGCTGGCGGCGGCGGCGCCCCGGCCATCCCCCCGCCGCCGTACAGGGAAACCCTAGGCCGTTCCGCGGCGGCGGCGGCGGCGCGGGAAGGGGAGAGCCGGAGAGAAGAGGTGGTTATTAGTTAGTTAACGAGATTACTCCTCCTGTTATTTTTCTCCTTTCCTTCGAAGGTTTGTACTGTGTATATATATAGAGATTTCAAATTGACCAAAAAACAAGAAGAAGAAGAATCGCCGTGTCATCGGCCACTCAGCTCCACGTCGTTGCAACTTTTGGTGTCAAAAAGGCTAAGGCGATATTGGGGTCAGTAGATTTATAAGGGTAAAAGAACTCTATGCCATGTAGGAAGGCAATGCAAGTATGCAACCATTTAATTGAACAAGTTGTACATGCGATGCGATGAGATGACAAACCGTAATAAACTTCCGTCTTCTGGCTAGTGCAACTCAATGTGATGTCTTCCATTCGGTTGTGATCTTGAGGAGATACAAGGTGTCCTCATATTTTAGATAATACTTACTTTTTTAAAAATATTGTAACCCATGACCAGAGATTCCCATACAGATCCAGATCCATAGTAATAGAACATATTTCATCTATTTTTATATTGTTACATATTCCAGGACTGAGGAAGTAGCACTTGTTACATTGTATTTATGATAAAAAATACACTAGGGTGGAATCTAGTGAGGACAACGGCGCTCGCGGGAGGAGCTGGCAACAACGATGGTGCTCGCAAACACGAGGGGCGATGGTAGCAATGGCACTCTAGCAATGGATCAGTAGCGGCGGCTAGGGGTGCAAACGGTATGGAAATTTCCCGACCGTACCGATACCGTTTCCGCAAAACTAATATAATAATAATATTTTTACCGATGTTACCGTTTTCAAAAATTAATTTTTAAAATTTTTATCAGCGTGGCATTGAAGTTGACACTAAATAGATGAATTCATAAATATGAAAATTTCCTGACCGTTTCCGTTCGTTTTCGAAAAAATAATAAAATAATGTACCGTTTCCGACTATTTTCATCCCTAGCGGCGGCACTCACGGACGGATCCGGTGGTGACAGCAACGACGCTTGAGTGTTCTTCAACCTTCTTTCCCTTTTCCCATCTGGCAAGATTTTTCTTATTCCTTATAGGTGGTCCTTACATATAAATATAATTTATCCAAAGAGCATTTATAAGGACTTCTATAACGTATAATGTAACTCCAGAGGCTTAAGATATCGTTTTTGGCTACATTGCCATATATTTTTGGTGAGATAGATGGACTAAAAGTTACAGCATATGGACATCAAATAATCAAATGGAGAGTATATCTTTTCTTTTATTCCCATATCAAATGGTACAAATATTAAACTGTCTAAGAACATAACTCGAATCCGTATTAACCAAGAGTAAAGAAACAAATAAATACAAACAAAATACGCCTCTTACAACAACATCATTTTTCACCAGCATGTGTTCCCCTCCCTATTAGAAGAAGCCCTTCACTTCAGCTCACAAGCAGCAGCTTCAAGTAACAAAAGAAAAAAAGCTCATCACCTCATTTGCTCAGTTCATGGCAGGTCCTCCTTCATGCCGCGGACGAACTCCTCCGAGTGTTCCTTGGTGACGCAGCTGGCGAGCATCCGCGTGCCGTCGAGCGGCAGCGGCGCCTTGAGGATGACGACGGAGGCGATGAAGTCGTTGTTGACGAGCGGGCCGGCGAACTTGGGCGGGCCGAAGCCGTAGTCCACCTCGGCGAACCCGAGCTTGCTCCAGTCGGAGACGTAGATGGACTCGTAGTTGAACGTCATCTGGAACGGGTCCTGCTCCGTCTCCTCCTTGGCGAACTGGAAGAACTCCACCGCCATCCTCTCCTTCGCCTGCCGGATCATGTCCACCACCTCCATCACCGACGACGACAGCACCGTCTCGCTCGGCGCTGACATCTTCACCGGGAAGATGGAGTTGCCGTAGTACCCCCTGTCCAGCTTCAGCAGGTGGCGCACGCTGGCGAAGAAGCAGAGCTTCACGGTGGCGCCGGGCTCGAGGTTGAGTGCCCTGGTGCGGCATTGCCACAGCTTCGCCGTCAGCACGTCGAAGCCGGAGCAGAACTTGCCGCTGTGCGCCTTGTACTGCGCCTTCAGGCCGTCGATGTAGCCGGTGGGGAAGTCGAGGACGATGTAGTCGAGCGCCAGCACCGGCAGCCCCGGCAGGGGGCCGGGCTTGATGCTCGGGTTCGGGAACTTCTCCCTGTCCCACACCGGCTTCACCCTCGGCTCCGGGAGCCCCCGCGCCATGTCGCCCACCGCGTTGATGAACTGAGCCGCGCCCATGCCGTCCGCCGACGCGTGGTTGAACCGGAGCCCCATCACGAACCCGCCGCAGGTGAATTTGGTGATCTGAAGTCATATGCAACTTGAGGTTAGCTCAGCTCTGAAGAATTCGATCAGTATGATACATTGGCATGCATGTTCTGAGAAAAATTGGCATGCATGTTCTGAGAAAATTTTGTGTATGTAACCAGAAACAATTTGGCATGATAATCAAGGATCCAAAAATGTCATGCAAATGGTCACAAATTCGATCTCGATTCCCACAAGTTGTCTTGATCGATAATGTGGATTCTCAATCATGAATATTCGGTTTTCACAGTGTTATGTAAGATGGAATCGTCATTTTTTCTGTCAAATGCATCCACAGCATGGGCGATGCCTTGATGGCGATGCAAGGGAAAAAAGGACAAAGAAAGAATGAGAGAAGATGCCATCTGAACATCTCAACAGCAAGCGCCCACACTACTCCAAACTACTAAACACTAGTTGAAAAAGACCCTCGTGAGACGTCCGTCCATACAGCTCCTCTTCAACAACCTCGCTACCTCAGCTACCTGTCGGTGGACACGGGAAGCTAAAAGTACTTTCTACTCAAGAACAAGCAACTAAAAGTTGATTAAAGGTCTTCAAGCCTTAGCTTAAAAGCAACACATTCAGACGACACTAACTGTCAATGACAACCAGAAACACACATATCCAGCAATTCTCGTGTCCAGATTGTGTACTCCCGGTGTGCAGTTCACACTGTCACAGTGTCATGCATGTGGTTTGCTAAGGCTAACGAATCTTCTACGAAAGCAGTGTAGTAGTCTAATATAATTACGTGTAATTTTTTTTTGTGCGTTTGCGAAAAAAGCAGTGTAGGTGTAGTAGTGTGGATGGTGGCATACCTCCGTCACCTACCACGTATGTTGTTGCAGCATCAATTTTGATTTTGCTTTGCCACATGGATTCATGCACATGAGGTTATCTAGAGAGAAATCCCTCCACGCTAACGGCAGTGCAGATCTACCTAACCACTCAAAGCTTCGCCGGCGCAAGCCTGAAGTCGAAGCCAAGTCGCACACTACTGTCTCATCAACATGCATGCCAAAGCCAAGTGACTCACTCAGTGCCTTGCCTTTGATATGTTCTGTCTTATAGAGAAAAAAAAAACAACACAAACCACAGCATCTGTACGAAAACGATTCTCGTTTTATCGGAAATTAAAATATTTATCAATTTAACTATTTAGTAACGATTGCAATATACTATGTGCAATAATGTTATACTTTTAAAAAGGTAACCAAGGGGTTCTTTTTCACTTTAAATGACATAGCACCTACCAAATTACATGCTAAAAACTATGTGATTTTGGAACATTTTAAGGGAGTTGGGAGTTTGTCCCATCAACTTATGGCTTGATTTTTTTTAGGTACCAAAACTTATTGATTGTGCGACCGAAGATGTAAATCATTTTCCATTATCTAGAAAAAGTGACGACTGCAATAGACAGGGGTGACGCCACGTTCACCCTGCCGAGTGCACAGGCACCAGGGAAAATTTTAGTTTTTAGTTATTAGCATCTAATTTTCACCTTTTGTGCGCTCCCTATAAAAAAATGTGTGCACCACCTTCAGCTGCCCAGCAGGCTGCAGGCAGCCCATGAAAGCCAAATTGCTTAAGTGCAGCCCAAACTTCAGCTTAATTATGTATTTTGCCCATTGCTATGTAGACATGTACTACCAGATTTTTCATTTTTGTAAGCATTTTTTGTCATTGTATATATTAGACTTAGATTTCTATTACATGCGTAAATAAAGTGTGCACTCGGGTCCTTCGTGCTCTAGATTCGCCTCTGGCAATAGATGTCAAAAGAAATTAAAAAGATTAAATTTTATACCACTTCTGTTTCATAATATAAGATTTTTTTAGTATTGCTCACATCTATTCATATAGATGTTAATGAAACATTATGAAATGGGGGAGTATATAGTTTGAATCGAAAACGGTATCACTCTTACGAAAACTATGCTCGATCGGTTGTGAATTTCCGTTACCGCTTTCATCACTGCCTCCGTCACGCGCTGCCTAACATTGCTGGATCCTAGCTCGGTTGCTTTGTCTGAAGCGGCAGGAGGCGACGATTTTTCTTTTCCCGTCTCCTTCTTTGACGGCGACTCGGTGTCCCCGGATCCCCCGCGCGCGCGACGCGGTCAAATGCCGACGCGGCCTTCGCATGCATATCCGCTTCGTCATCTCATCACCGGCGACCCCGCCGTGACGTGACGTCAAAGCTGAGCTCTCGCGGCGGCTTGGTTTGGCTCATAGCCTCATACTATAATACTACTCCGAGAGGAACTAACCCCAGCAAAGCTTTCCAAAAATAGATCGCGTTTCTCGTCGCGTCACGCTATCACCCTTGACATCATCATGCAGCAGCAAGATTTTTTTTGGCAAAAGCATGAAGATCATTATGCAGCACTTGTTTAATTTACTTCGATTTCGATAGAGTTTAAGCTAACACGGATGTTAAAATACATGATGATAATAAGTGAGTTATAGCTAAAATATTTTCTTAATCGGTTCCAGAGTCCCCCTCGTATGCTCTAACTAAAGTAAATGAAAAAGTTTCTGAAAACTTGAACAGAAAACAGAGTGGTCTCTGCTCAAGCTTTCAGAAGTTCTTCACTGTTTCAGGCGAGGATTTGGCACGTAATTACTCGATGCATTTTTGTTAGTCAGTACTCAGTACTACTAATTCTCTTGTCAACGACTGAATGGTGGGGCCCAGATGTCAGCCTCCCTCAACCGACACAGTCAGCCACACCGCTCTCCCGTCGACTCGGCCCGCCAATCTGATTCTGACGCGGCAGGAAGAGAAAAAAAACAGCGAAAAACTCAAAAAGAAAAAAAAAAGAAAAAGAAGCTTCCCACCACGACACCATCTCCCTCCCCTTTGACCTCTCGCCTCCGCTTCGCTCACTCTCTCGCTCGCCTCGCCTCAGATCTACCACCGCCCACGACACCCACCGGATCTCGCCCGTGCTCACGCAATCGCAGATTCACTCGAAGCAGCAAAACATTCCAATCAATGGAGGCGAGGGCGAGGGCGAGGTTACCTGCATCATCATGATGGTGTTGTGGGGCTCGACGCCCCAGCGGTCGTCGCCGGGGTAGGGGACGAGGTCCTCCTTGGGGAGGAGGAGGGGGCGCTCCAGGAAGCGGACGTCCTCCAGGCTGCAGTCGGCGGCGGCCTCGGCGAAGTAGACGCCGTCGGCGGTGCACCGGATGGCGGGGGACCCGGCCTCGGGCTCCACGATGCGCCCGGCGAGCGGGTAGAAGAAGACCAGCGCCCTGGCGAGCGCGTCGCGGATGACGCCCGGGGCCGCGTCGGCGCCCGACCGGAAGATGTGCATCGACTCCACCAGCCCGCGGTGGGTCGGGTACCGGTCCACCCACGCCAGCGGCAGCGTCTCCTCCGGCGTCGCCGCCGCCGGCTTCACCGCCCCCTCCGAGATCCTCGTCACCTTGAAGCTCCCCGTCCCCGCCATGGCCGCGTCTCCCTTTTTTTTCTTTTTTTCTCTTTTTTTTTTTTGAGCTTTTACGATTCGTCTTCGAGTAGTGGCTGCGTGCAAACAGCTTGGCCTTAAATGGAGCGGCGGAGTGTTGGGCGAGTGGGTCGCTGTCACGTGGGCCCCACACGGAGGTGTCGTAGCAGCCGGGGGCGTTCGGTGGAATCAACGGCTCAGATCGCGCACGGATGCCGCTTACCCGTTCAATTCAAAAATGCAGCTGGCTGTGTGTGATCGCCTCTCCAACAATCTCGACGTGATTTGAGTTTAAATAAAAAGAAACAATGAACGTGATTTGCACTAGGCTTTGGGAGATTTATGCATATTTTGCAAGACAAAAAGGGCTGCTAGCCCACACAACATAATAATGATGTTCCAGTCATACACACGATGTGTAATTGTGTATCCCAACTTGCAAAGTGTACATAGCCTCTCTTTTTTTTTTCTCTTTTCTTTTACAAAAAGACATGAGAAGATGTTGAGAGGAAGTGGCTGGGCAGCAATAGCATAACAATGCGTGATGATGAAAGGGACAATGCAGTGCAGGTTCGTTGCAAGCATTTGTTGAGTCTGCAAGCTATCTTGTTGAGCCAGTCTCTGGCCTGATGATTGGGGTCCAAGTTGCTAGTACTTGCTACTGGAGTTTTTTGCACTCTTGAGAGCATGTGAGTTGGTGGAGTTTTAGCCTATGGAACTTTTCATTTCCTTTTCACGAAGGAAAATGGTCTTTGCTAAGTAATTAAGCTCTATTTGGAACACTTTTCTTTTCGATTTATGCAAATTATGAAAATTGTACTGTTTTTAATGTCACATTGTCGTACAAGTCTAGTGTTTCGATCAAGCTCGATCGTTTTTTGTCAGATGGATCATCAGCTGTCGGAAGGGCCACAGCTAATGAACGGTAGTTGGCAAAACGTTGGTTGCTGAACACTGAATTTTAGTTGGTTGGAGTCCTTTTCGCCTTTTTTGAGAGAGAATGCAGGTCAGAGTTTGGCCAGAATTAACCCCGAACCTACCCAAAAGAAGCAGTTCATGTACTGGGCACCTGCAGCTGCAAATTTAAATGGTTAGGCAACGTAGCTTTACAACATTACGCACGAGTTTAAATCTGTCATTATCCAGCAGTCTGAACTCTGAACTTCCATTTGCTACGGATGATTTCCTTTATCCGTTCGAATTCTGAACATGCATGCCGTGCAGCCACTGTAGCTTTCGGCCAATGACTCTGCTTTATTGCCGGCCTCCAACAACTCCGTGGACGAGAAAAAGGAAGAGATGGAAAGCCCGTTGCGACTTTGCAAATTCTCGTTAGGCTCTTTGGTCCTAAATTCCAAAGCAGCCATGCATGTATGCATGATTAAAAATAAAAGCTTAGATAACTAACTATAAATTAAAGCTCATGCATGCCTGCATTGCGTGTGTTATAGGTTAATTGTTTGTTTGGTTGATGACTCTTGAAGCTTGAAGGTGTATGTGTTTTTGTGTTGGTTGCGTGGTCCTGATCTCTAACGATTTAATCAAAAAGAAAAAAAATAATAATGATGATCGTGTACTATACTAACTTGAAAGCAAAAAAAAAAAAAAAGGTAAAGGAAAACATGCGTGTGTCATGGAGAATCTAGTGCAGTAGAAGCGCATGTTTGTGCGTGATGAAACACCGGACAATTATCAGAAAAGGAGATCATATCGTTAAAGAAAGAGGACAATGATTCGTAATCCTGATGCCAAACGTACATCGTAAGGGAATTTTAATAGCAAATTTGTTTGGCTGTTGCTGCTGCTAATTAGTTGTACTTTCCCTTTCATGCATGTTCGCAGCAGTGATCTCCACTCTTGACATGTTCAGGTTTTCAGGCTAGCACTCGATCAATCAGTACTGGCTCTGAACTTAATTTGATTAGCTCTGGAATGGTTCTGACTTTCGATCTCACAACAGCAACAACCTGTAGATAAACTAATGCATGGCACATTGGCACTCACACTACTCACTATCATCTGGATCTTCTTACCATGAATAATTCAATTTATATCTCCAATTAATTCATTGTCAACTTACGAAATGCCAGAAAAATGAACTCATGGCAGTTGGAATTGAAGACGTCAGAAAAATGAACTCATGTCAGTTGGAATTGAAGAGATGATTGGGTTGGATGCAATGCAATGCACATGGAAGTGTCAGGACGCTACGGTTATCTAGTTTTATGGTGTGCACTGATTGAGATTTGCTGTACCATGTAAAATTTATGAACTGTGTGATCTGATCTACAATCCACAGTGTCTCCACAGGGACCATATATAGTTTTTTGCTTAAGGCGCTGAAGGGACCATAGATTAATTGGACAAGATGTTGTTAGCAAAGTAGCAAAGCATTTGCTAGCTCTCTTGTCAAATCTTCTTTTGGGGCATTATTAAGAATTTATTTAAGATACAGGTACAAGGGGCCCATTGATCAAATTGCCCCCTTGTCTAGCTTCATTTCTGGTTCTAAAGCTGAACACATGAATGCATGTTAATTTTGTATAGTTTTGTTGTTTATAAGCTAACCCCAAAACAGCAAGCAATCTAGGGCCAATGTGATCGATACACGGGTACAGTCGTACAGAGTTGGAAAATGGCCCAAGCCCCAAGTGGCATTCTCACGTATGATGGTATTTTTTTAATTCGCACATTTTTACGATATAATTTTCCTAATTTATTCAAAAATTATATGAACACACCAAATTATCCTATATTCATATAGTCGTTAGTAGTTTTTTTAAAACAAATGTAAAAATTGGTCTGCCCCCATGAAATTCATATATTCCAAATAGAGGATTAGTAAGGTTCTGTTTGTTTCAGCTTAAGATTATTGAGACATATTACTATAAATTGGATTATAATAAGTCGACATAGAATAAGACCCTGTTTGTTTCAGCTTAAGATTATTGTAATCTAGATTATTAAATCAGATTACTCTAAGCTGGATTATAATAAGCTAACATAAAATAAGCTACGAGTTGTTTGTTTCTCTGAATTATTAGAGGCATCTAAAAGTAGTGGGTCTTTAGCCACTCAATAAACTGGAAAAAGCTCCTCTAGAGGAGATTATTGGATTATAGTAATCTGGCTTATAGATTATAATAATCTAGCATAATAATCTACTTGTTTGTTTCAGCTTACTCCTAATAATCCAGATTATAATAATCCTAAGCTGAATCAAACAGGGCCTAAGTTGTTAGCTATTTGTTTCTCTGGATTATTAGCTGGTTGTTAGGTGTTAGCAACCCAATAATTTTTAAAAAAGCACATTTAGAGTGGATTACTAGATTATACTACCTCCGTTTTGGGTTATAAGACTTTCTAGCATTGCTATATATATATATATATATATATATATATATAAAATCTATTCTACACCCCCCTCCCATGGATCAAACCCACCTCCCCCACCCTCCCTAGGGCCCAAAACCCCCCCTCCCACCTCGGTCAAAGCGTCCTCCTGCCGGTCAAACCCGCCCACCACTCCCTCCCCCGCCCACCACTTTGCTGCTCTCGTCTTGCAGGAATCGTGCAGTAACAGGACGGTCACCGTGCAGTAACAAGACAACATTATCATAGTAACAACGTCAAAAAGTAGCCATGATGGATCTAGTTTCGTTAAACGTTTTTTATGAACTTCATGGTGCAAACGGATTGGAAATACAAGATATGATGTGAGAGATATTGCTCTCTAAAGATTGAGATTTACCTCTTTTTTAGTTATGATGGTTCTAGTTTCGTTAAGCGCTTCTTTTTTACGAACGCCATGATGCAAATGGGTTAGAAAAATAAGACATGACGTGTACGTTAGTACTCTCTAAAGATTGAGATTTAAAATACTAGATTAAAAAAACATTACTACTATAGGGCCACTGTTACTATGCATGTTCTCTGTTACTGCAAATTTCGTCATATTGTTACTGCCAAAAGTGCAGTAACAACCTATACATTTTTTAGTAACATATGATGTTACTATCCTTCTGGGATAATGTTACTGCCGAATCATAGTAACAAGGTATGATTGTTAAAGGTACATGATTTGTTCACAAACCATCATATGGTGATTTGGTTACAAGTGCTCGCCATGAACCATGAGATCATGGGTTCAAGTCTTGAATTCACTAATTTATTTTTAATTTTTCTAAAAAAGAGAGAAGGAGGAGGGAGAGAAAAAAAAAAGAAGAAAAGGAGAGATTTATTTTTAATTTTTCTAAAAAAGAGAGAAGGAGGAGGGAGAGAAAAAAAAGAAGAAAAGGAGAGATTGAGGAGGGGAGGATGAGAGATCGGGAGGAGGGAGGGGCGCGAGAGAGGAGCGACGGGAGGGAGGTGGGAGGGGTGTATAATAGAGCTACTATATATATATATTAAATTTGTTTGGTGCTCCATGGTGCCCGGGCACCATTGTTGAAATTGAGTATATACCCAATTCAAATGAGTATGAAACTTTTTCAATTACTTAGATATTAACATTAACTACTTTACTAACTAGTTCAAAGCAAGTTTGAACTGAATTTGAACTTGTTTATATATTAATAAATCTAGGCACACATATATGTCTAGGTTCATTAACATATATATGAATGTGGGCAATGCTAGAAAAATCTTATAATACGAAATGGAGGAAGTAGTAATAATATATCATAATAAGCTATCTGTTTGTTTCAGCTTACTCTTAATAATTTAGATTATAATAATCCTAAGCTAAAACAAACAGAGCCTGAATACATTGGGGCTATTGCGCCAGCTAATGGGCCATATTGTCTTGTACGAGCACACACAGCAGGGGAATAAGTTCACCGGAGGTCCCTCAATTTAACAGCGAGATTTTTTGAGGTCCCTCAACCACAAAACCAGGAATGTTCGCCCCTAAACTCATTCAAACCGTTCACAGGAGGTCCCTTGGCAGTATAGGTGGGTGGTTTCGCTTACGTGGCATCCTAGTCAGCAAAAAAAAGGTACGTGGGGCCCACATGTAAGTGAGAGAAAATGGTGCGGGCCCCACATCCCTTCTTTTTTCCCCTTTCTTCTCTTCTCTCGTCTTCTTCGACGAGCCGAGACGTGCGGGGCGACGGCCGGCGAGAGCGGCGGCAGCGGCGGAGGGCGAGCGCGGCCGCGGCAGGCGAAGCAGGCAGGAGCGGGCGCGACGGTCGGCGAGAGTGGCGGCGGATTGTGGGCGACCGCGGCGGGAGGTGGGGGCGAGATCCGGGACGGGCTCCTGCTCCGGGAGGGGATCCCCGCGGCCGACGGAGATGTCGCCGCCGGTGGCGGATGAATCAAAG